GCCTACCCCGACCATACTTCCAGTTCCTAAAGTCGTTCTTGGAAGACCGTAAATTTGCTGTTAGATGTGGCGAGGCCATCTCCGGTTTAAGAGAAGCTCACGCTGGTGTACCCCAAGGCAGCGTTCTTGGCCCGTTGATGTACAATGCTTACACGGCCGACCTCCCTGTTCTTCAGAGGCCTGACCTGCTCGCAGCAACCTATGCAGACGACACCGCCTTCCTTTCCACCGCCGATAGCGCATTGGGGGCAGCCGAAACGATGCAATTGCAGCTGGACTTGCTCAGCGACTGGCAAAAGCGATGGAATATTGCCGTCAATAATGAGAAGTCCACTGCCTCCACATTTTCTCTCTGCAAAGGCAACTGCCCTCCAGTTAACCTTAACGGCTCTCTAATTCCTTAGGTAGACAATCCCAAGTACCTGGGATTCACCCTAGACAGGAGGCTCACCTGGAAGCCCCATCTGATTAAGAAGAGGAAACAGGCTAATCAAAGACTTCGATTCTTCTACTGGCTTATGGGTAGGAGATCGAAGCTGAGAACTTCCACTAAACTCCTCATTTACAAGGCAATAATACGCCTAATCTGGACGTACGGCATACAGCTCTGGGGCACTGCGAGCAAGACGAATGTCCTAACAATACAAGCTTTCGAAAATAGAGCCCTTCGAATCGCCACTGGGGCCCACGTCTTTCATGACAATCGCACCATCCACGAGGTTCTCAATTTCCCTTGGGTCAAGGACGAGATACAAAGAAGCATTGCACGTCACATGCAGAGGCTTCATAATCACCCGAACCGGCTGGCCAGCTCCCTGCTGGACAACAGCGAGCAGCCCAGAAGACACCCGCTGGACCTCCCCTTACTACTCTAATTTATTTCTACCATATTAATATTTAAAATTATCTATAAGTGAAGTTTATGTGATAACATTTAATGGTTGTCCCTAATGGACAGTTTTAAATAAACGTTACCCTGCTATTACAAAAAAAAAAAAAAACTTCCTCGCTTCCTGCTTTATGGGGAACGTGGCGGTACATCAAGCCACCCTCTTCATCATAGTCCGGAAATTTTTGCGGGCTTGCCTTCATTTTTTCCTTTAACGCGCTTATCCACACTCGCTATTCTTCCAAGCGGGCACTCGAGGTTTTTGAGCCACTTCAGTGCCATATGGTCCGTGATCACGTCGAACTGATATCCTTCCAGGTAGGGCCTCATCTGCCTGATCGCCCATACTATGGCTAGGCACTTCGTCTCCGTTGCCGAGTAATTCTTCTCAGCCCCAATCAACGTCCGACTGGCGTACGCGATCACTCTTTCGCCCTCCTCGGTGTCCTGGGTCAGGACCGCCCCGACGCGGTTTGCAGTACAAATTTTTTGTTGAAGTCTGGACACGCCGGCACTGGATCCTCGGCAAGCCGTGATTTTAGTGTTTTGAACGCCTGCTGGTGCTTGGGTGTCCACTCCCACTTTATTCCTTTCCGTAGCAGATCGTTCAAGGGCTTTGCGATTCCCGCGAAATCTGGGACGAATCGCCGATACCATGACGCCATCCCTATGAACTGGCGTACTCCCGTGACGTTTGTCGGGGGTTGCAGCTGTGTAATGGCAGCGACCTTCCCCGGATTCATGCCGATCCCTTGGCTCGTTATTCTATGTCCCAAATAAAGCAGTTCCTGCCTGAAAAAATGACATTTTTCCGTGTTTATCCGCAGGTTTGCTGCTTTCAACCTTCTGAACACCTCTCTTAGGTTCGCCATGTGTTCTTCCTTGGTGCGTCCGATCACGATGATATCGTCCTGATATGCAAATGCATGTGGAGCCATGTCCTGACCTGGTCAAGGGCCCTTTGGAATGTTGGCGAGGCTGAGTGCAACCCGAACGGTATCACCTTCCATTGGTACAGACCCTTCCATGGAACGGTGAAGGCGGTATACTTTCTGCTTCCTTCCTCCAGAGGGATCTGCCAATACTCGTCCTTCAAGTCGAGGCTGCTGAAGAATCTGGCCTCCCTTAGTTGCTCCAATATGAAATTTATTCGTGGCATTGGGTACGCATCTTTTACTGATTTTGCGTTGATTTGCCGGAAGTCCACGCACATTCTCCATTGACCCGTCTTTTTCTTCACCATTAAAATGGGTGAGCTGTATGCGCTATTCGAGGGCTCAATGCATCTCTTTTCCAACAGCTTCTCCACTTTTGCGTTTATTTCCCTCTGTATTTTCGGGTTTTTTGTTTTTTAACTTTTTTCTTTTTCGGACGCTTCTAACTCTTTCTCCATAAATCTCTTATTGCGTTCGTCTTCCCATACCTCTGGACATCCGGCCACTGCTACGGACAGTCTATCCTCCAGACAGCCGCCCCATCTCTCCCTTTTGGTTATGGTAACGCGGTGGCCTGCGCATGTCACCGTTGCGCCAAACTCGCTGAGGAAATCCCATTCCAGCACCAGACTGTCCTCCATGCCGGCATCACCAGCAAGTTCAGGGTCTTTGTCCTGTTTCCGAAGCTTATTCGAGCCTGCAATGCGGCGCGTGTTTCTGTATGGCTTCCATTGGCTAACTTCACCCGTCTCCTTATCGCGACTCGTTTCCCGGCAAGTCGGTAAGGCATACGTCAGACTTATCCTTTCCTCACTTCCTTGCAAGGCTACCTGCCGTGTTCGGGAATGAACCAACTCGACTACATGACCCTGGGTTTTCAGAGGAAAGTCCAGCAATGGATCCTTTCCTTATTGTCTATTCGCTCTCCTTGCGCTTGGCTGTCGGACTCTCTAAAGGCGGTCCTTCAACTCAAACAAACCGAATCCTTTTTAGAAACGCTCTAACACTTAAATGGCGGACTCTTCACAGGCGGTCCTCCAACTCAACGCTACAAGCTTCCTAAAAAGGCTTGTCCCGAGCCGCTCCAATGGGCCTCCTTTTATACTGACTGGAGCGCCCGTTAATCCTCCTGGATTCTGCTCCTGCCGTTAATCCAGCTTCCAGAATCACGCCACTTTCCCGTTGACGGGTCGATGTCCGTGGCCCCTCGTTTCCCCCGTTTACGGATCTCATTTGCTGGTATATGGTGCACCGGTGGGTTTCCAGGGCCCGCTGCACTCTGCGTCGCAACCCCCCCTTTGCTCCTTGCCGCTCCTTTGCTGCTCACCCCGCCACACTTTCTAAGGCACGCCTGCGCATCGTGCTGATTCCCCCACTGGACCACTTCCCCAACGTTTCTCCGGGAACCGTTATGTTCCACGTCGATTCCTTCTTCCCCCGGGTGACGGCGTTTACCCTTTCACCGGCCACCGTTACGTTCCACGTGGGTTCCGTCTTCCCACGGGTAACCCTTCGCCGGAACCCACGGTAACTGGCTTTCACATTTCCCCCAACCCCCCGTACTGATCCCGGCAACATTCACTTGGTCTGCCAGGTTGATGACCGGTGGTTGACCACCTTTTTCCGCCTCCTCGCCCATTTTTTTTACCTTTTTTTTCTGGGTGAGACATTTATAGTCACTGCTTGCTTTTGCTGTAGGAAGCTCGCGAAAAAAAAAATTAAAATAAAATGCCTGGTTTATTAATAATGGGCGAGCGAACAAAAGAAAATCCAGAAATTAATATTGGAGACCGACCTTGGTGACAAATTCATTCGCCGCAAACAAAGTTAACGAAACTTTCTTGAAAGCACTGTGGCTGCAGCGCTAACCAACACAAGTGCAACTGATCTTGCAAGCATCGAACGCCGGCCTAGCAAACTTAGCTAGGTTGGCAAACAAAGTGATGAAAGTTGGCGATTTGCATCATGTACGCACAATCGACGCCAGGTCGGCGCCACCCAGCAGCGCCGTTTTCGACGAGCGTCTAGATCGCATCGAACAACAGATCAACGCTCTGTTCTCGCAAGAACAGTTCGTCCACATTAATGGATCGTAACAGCGTCACAACTTCAGACATGTGTTGGTACCACAAAATATTTGGCAACGCCATGGACACAAGATATTTCCAAAACAGCCCTTTTGGGCTATTCAAATTTTTGTTTATGAAGTTTTTTCGTGACAGTTTTCACCGACACACAAACGACGTCTTACAGGGCCTCGACTTCGTTTTTGCATACCTCGACCCCCTTGCATACCATTCTGATCACTTCATTATCCGAGGCGCAGCACGAGACCCACCTCCGCACGATACTCCACCGCCTTTGAAAGGCAAATTGTTACGAACTGTTTTGTCTGCTTCCGCTCGCCACAATATGCCGCGGCTAACTCACAGAGTCTGCCGGTTAGTTCCACCGAATTTGTAGTTCGACGCGATTGCCCGAGCCCAGAAATAATACAAATAGCTTTTATTTTATGCAGCCTCGTTATTTGCTGCTCCTTCTATTTACAATGATATTTTTACCTGGTTCCCGAGAACGGGCCCCACTCCGAATACTCGTAATCCTTGATGCCTCCTTTGGCCGTCCTGATGGTCTGCTCCGTTGTTGTTGTTCCGTCGATGCTTTCGTTGCCGGGGGTTCCTCTTTGGTGTTCTTTCGTCGAGCCTTCCACCAAGTCTTTGACTTGGTCTGGTCTGGACTTCGGCTGCGCCTACGCGCTGTACCACCACGTTCTACCCGCTGGTGTAGGTCCAGGACCTCGCTCCGCTGCCGCTGCTCCACCCGGACGGATCCGACGGGTATCTTTCCTCGTCCTCCTGCTGCCCGCTTGATCACCCAGGCTGCCCTTGCTTTTCTGGCGTCCCAGGACGGATCGCCGACGATCTCAATGTCGCTCTCGTCCGAAGACACCACTATAGACGCGCTGGTTTTACTCGACATGTTGTGCTGCTTGTTGACTTCGAATAGGCCGTACACCTCCCAAGGCTCTACTTATATAGTGTATCCATTTCCCGTTGCTGGAAATGTCCCGCTAATGCTCCCGTTACTTGATCTCCTCCTCTTTGGGGTTTTTTTTCCCCCTTTTTCATTTTCTCTTTGCGGTATGTGTACACTTGTATGTATTTCTCTTGTGATCATCATTCCTTTGCTGTTGCCTCCGTATCTTGACACTTCAGCTCTCTAACATGGGCCCTCTTTGTCCGGCCGTGTCGTAATGTGACAATTACCGGCGACACGAAGTCCACTACCGTATATGGCCCGTTATACCGAGGCGCAAGTTTCGCCGCGAATCCTTCGGCTGCCTTTGATAGGTGGTGCTCCTTTGCCCACACTGCACAGTGGTTCCGTCAGAGGCCAAAAATCAAAAAATTTGATGACATATTTTTTAAGCAAAATGTATCAAAATTGTCTCTTAAAAGTCCAAACTTCTCTTTGGCACACCGGATTTTACTAGAAATCTAACGGTACTTTCTAAAAATAGATTTGCAATCGTGAACACGTGTTCATTTTGGCAACGCAGCTGCGCTTTGGAAGTTATTTCTCTCTTTCAATTCGCCCTTTAAAGTGATCAGACGTAATTTAACATGAATTATGAAATTGAAGGTATTTACTTTAAATTGAGATATTAATAATTAACTTTCCTGATAAAGTTTTTTCGTAAAACTAATTTCATCGAATAACCCTTTTTTGTGTATTTTTTTAAAGTATATTTTATGTTTAGTTAGACTTTTAGTTATGTTCCAAGAAAACCCAGAACTTGGTTTGTATGTTTTTGTGATCGTCTTATTTTAGGTTACTAAATATAATATTTTAAAATTATCTGCCGAAATTTGCCGATGTGTCTAATATCGTAAAAATACTAACACCATCTTAACATGAAAGTTGGGTAATTTCCGTTTTTTCAGTTATAGGGCAGCTATAGGATATAGTCGGCTGATCCTTATGAAATTTGGCATGTTGTATTATTTTACCAAAAATAGCATTCGTACCAAATCAGAATTCTCTAGCTTTAAAAACACCGAAGTTATATCACTTCCGATCAATTTGTTATATGGCAGCTATAGGATATAGTCGGCTGATCCTTATGAAATTTGGTAGGTCGGGTTATTTTCTCAAATATAGTATTCTTTCAAAAACTGAACCATCTAACTGTAAAAACACCCCAGTTATAGCATTTTCGATCAATCAGTTATATGGCAGCTATATGATATAGTTGCCCGATCTGGCTGATTTTAACATATTATTTTAGAATAAGATTATAAATATTTTGTGCCAAGTTTCCAGTCCATACCTCAACTAGAAGTATTTTTGGCCGCTCTCTTCATACAAGCCGGACCACTGTGCACTGTCTCACTGACCTTTGGGCTCCACTTCCGTCTCCTCAAATTATAATGCCGCGCCTGGTCCTGGGCAGCTCGCTCCATGTTCCTCCGCACTATCTCGAACATTTCTTTCAGCATCGTCGCGTTCTCCGTGGGTGTTCCTTGTCCAACTCCCGTGCCTAACACATTTTCATCTAACAGGGCTCGCGGCATCCTTGGCTCCCTGCCCTGCGTTACAAAACACGGCGAGTACCCCGTGGATTCTGAGACTGCCGAATTTACTGCCAACATTAGCTCCGGCCAGTGCTCGTCCCACTTCCTTTGATCTTCCCCAGCGAACTGGGCGATCATTGTTTTGACCGTTCTATTCGCTCTTTCCATGGGATTCTCCTGCGGCGTATATGGTGGCGTACGCCGAGCTCTCCGAAGAATTTCTTAAAGCTGCAACTGGTGAACTGCACCCTGTTGTCCGTTACCATTATTTTCGGTACTCCATACCGAGCGACAATTTTTTCCCTGAACGCCTTCTATAGCGCCTCGGTTGTTGCTTTTCGAAGTGGCACTATCTTCGTCCATTTCGAAAACCGATCGATCATCACCAATATCATGGTGTTGCCGTGTTTCGACTTGGGCAGTGGGCCTACAAAATCCGCGCATACCGTCGCCCATGGCACCTCCGGAACCTGTGTCAGCATTTGTCCGGCTGTTTGCATCTGACTCGTCTTGTACTTCAGGCACGTTTCGCACCTCCTGACGTATTTCCGGATGTCCCTCTGCATCCCTGGCCAGAAATACCGGGCGGCCACTCTGGCTATGGTTTTTCTTACGCCCAAGTGTCCTGCCGCTGGTGCGTCATGGTTTTCTTTGAGGACCTGCTGCCTCATCTCCATCGGCACGCACAGCTTCCATGACGCCACTTCCTCGCTTCCTGCTTTATGCGGGACATGGCGGTAGATCAAACCGCCCTCTTCAACGTAATCTGGAAAATTTTGTGGGCTTGTTTTTATCTTATCCTTCAATGCGCTTATCCACACGCATTCTTTGTCGACCATCTCCATGTCTTTTCTTAATTTTTTCACTACCGGCTGGCGGGATAGCGCGTCGGCAACCACGTTGAGCTTCCCCTTACGGTAGCTGATGACGGTAGTCATACTGCTGCAGCTCGAACACCCACCTCGCTATTCTCCCAAGTGGGCTCTCGATATTATTAAGCCACTTCAATGCCATGTGGTCCGTGATCACGTCGAACTGGTACCCCTCCAGGTAGGGCCTCATTTGCCTTATCGCCCATACTATGGCCAGGCACTCCTTTTCCGTTGCGGAGTAGTTTTTCTCGGCCCCAATCAACGTTCAACTGGCGTACGCGATTACTCGTTCGCGCTCCTCGGTGTCCTGGGTCAGGACCGCCCCGACGCCGTAGTCGCTGGCGTCCGTTTGCAGCACAAACTTTCTCTCGAAGTCTGGGCACGCTAGCACTGGATCTTCCGCTAGCCGTCACTTTAAAGTCTCAAAGGTCTCCTGGTGCTTGGTTGTCCATTTCTATTTTGGTCCCTTTCGTAGCAGATCGTTCAGGGGCTTCGCGATTCCAGCGAAATCTAGGACGAAACGCCGATACCACGATGCAACTTGCGTACTCCCTTGACGTTCGTTGGGGGTTGTAGCTCTGTAATTGCGGCGACCTTTCCCGGATCCATTTCGATCCCTTGGCTTGTTATCCGGTGTCCCAGGTAGAGCAGCTCCTGCCTGAAGCAATGACACTTTTCCGTATTTATCCGCAGGTTTGCCGCTCTCAACCACCTGAATACCACTTTTAGATTTTCCACATGCCCCTCCTTGGTGCGTCCGATCACTATGATGTCATCCTGATACGCGAATGCGTGTGGAGCCATATCCGGGCCTATGACCTGGTCAAGGGCCCTCTGAAACGTTGCCGAGGCTGAGTGCAACCCAAAAGGCATCACTTTCCATTGGTATAGACCCTTCCCTGGAACGGTGAAGGCGGTGAATTTCCTGCTGTCTTCCTCTAGGGGAATTTGCCAATACCCATCCCATTCAAATCGAGACTGCTGAAGAACTCTGCTTCTCTCAGCTGTTCCAAAATGAAATGTATACGTGGCATTGGGTACGCATCCTTTACTGATTTCGCATTGATTTGTCGGAAGTCCACGCACATCCTCCATTGACCCGTTTTCTTCTTCACCATTACAATGGGTCAACTGTACGCGCTATTTGATGGCTCAATGCATCCTTTTTCCAGCAATTCCTCCACCTTCGATTTTATTTCCCCCTGTATCTTTGGATTTTTGGGGTAATATCGTTGATTTATGGGAATGTCGTCCTTCATCGTGATCCTGTGCTGTGTTTTGTTCGAGCAGCCCCTATGGCCTGCGAACGCCTCCAGTTCTCTTTCGATGAATCTTTTATCTCGTTCCTTTTCCCATTTTTCTGGGCATCCGCCACCACTACGAACAGCCTATCCTCCAGACAGCCGCCCCATCTCTCCCTTTTGGGTATCGAAATGCGGTGGCCTGCGCATGTCACTGTTGTGCCAAACTCGCTGAGGAAATCCCACCCTAGCACCAGACTGTCCTCCATGCCTGACATCACCAGCAGGTTCAGGGTCTTTGTCCGATCGCCGAAGCTTATCCTTGTTTGGAGCACGGCGCGTGTCTCCGTATGGCTTCCATTAGCCAACTTCACTCGTCTCCTTGTCGCGATTCGTTGTCCGGTGACCTCCGGCCTCTCCGCTAATTCTTCAGAAATAAAACTCGCCGTTGCTCCCGTGTCCAGCATGGCCTTTATCTCCGTGCCCTTGACCTTGATAGTTGCCGTCAGCTGCTGCTCCTCCTCGGATAGTCCTCCTATTAGTTTTGAGAGGCAGCACCGTGCGAACCCCGCTCTCCTCCCTGTCGCTGAGACCGCTGCACGTTTCCCGACCTCTGGCAGCATTCTGTGCTCCTTACTCCTGACGCGCCACACATCTGGTAGAACAACAACCTTGGATTCCTGCACCCGCTAGCCCAATGGCCCATGCCACCGCATCTCTTGCATGCTTGAGCCGGGTTCTCGACAGGACCCTGCCTTGGCCCTGCTGACCATTGCCGATCTGGTCGTTGTTGATCCGCCCTGTGAAGGGTCTCGGGCTGCCATCTTGGCGTCCAACCTTGACCTGTGTTTTTCTGTCGCTCTGGCGGGCCTTGGCGCAGTTCTTCTTTCTGCCACCTTGGTGTCCATTGGGTGTTTTGATTGATTTCTTTGGTACCCCGCTGCCTCGGCATGCTGCGGTTCTTCTTTTTGCCGCCTCTCTACGGTCGGTTGACTGTGGCTCCATCGTTGTTCCGTGGCAACTTGCCTATTAAAAGCTTCTTCTTCCTGCGCCAACTCCTCGAACACTTCTGCCAGGCCCATCACCTCCTCCAAGGATGCGCATGCGTATGGTCTTATAAACATTTTCATCCTTGGCATGCAATTTTCGACGAGCCTCTCGATTACCTCCTTGGTGGTTTTCCCTAGTGGCTTCATTAGGGATTGAAGGTCCACCATGTATTCCTTGAATGGTTCTCCACGACGCTGATTCCGTTGACGGACTTGATTCGCCAACTTCTCGAAATATCCTTTCGGTAGGAAAAAGTTTTCGAAGCTTGCCTTAAATCTAGCCCATGTTTTCCATTCTTCGTCGTTCATGATGAACCATCTTTGAGCCCTGCCCTGCAGTAGTTCTGGCATAGCCCTCGGGATCGTGTTTATGTCCAAACCATAGGTTTTCGCGGACCACGTCACTCGGTCGAGGAACTCTAGCGGGACTCCTGTTCCGTCGAACCGAAAGGACCAGTACCGCACCTGTCTGGCCACTTTGGCGTAATCCACTGGGGCCGGGACATACTTTATCCTTCCTATTTTTGGCTCTGGTACCGCTAAGTATAAATCTATAAATCTTTCGGTCTCGCTGGTCGCTCTCTGCCTGGGGGTGGATATGTGCCCAAACCTTTCCTCGAGCCCGTGAGTCAACGCCAGTACTTCCTCATCCTTGGACTCGTCGACCCACTTCGCCACTAGTGATCTCATGGTTTCCACCGTCCCGTCTGCTGGTAGACCGAGTTCTCTGCAAACCTCGCTCAGTTTCTCCTTTTTGAGCGTGTAGATCCAGTTATTCTTTCCCATTTCTCTGCTATTTTATATCTAGACTCAAACGCAATCACGTAGTTTGTGCGCCAGGTGTAACGAACTGTTTTGTCTGCTTCCGCTCGCCACAATATGCCGCGGCTAACTCACAGAGTCTGCCGGTTAGTTCCGCCGAATTTATAGTTCGACGCGATTGCCCGAGCCCAGAAATAATACAAATAGCTTTTATTTTATGCAGCCTCGTTATTTGCTGCTCCTTCTATTTACAATGATATTTTAACCTGGTTCCCGAGAACGGGTCCCACTTCGAATACTCGTGATACTTGATGCCTCCTTTGGCCGTCCTGATGGTCTGCTCCGTTGTTGCTGTTCTGTCGCTGCTTTCGTTGCCGGGGGTTCCTCTTTGGTGTTCTTTCGTCGAGCCTTCCACCTCTTTGAATTGATCTTTTCTGGACTTCGGCTGCGCACTTACAGGCCTCCACTAAATTGTCGGTGATACCGCGCCTACGCGCTGTACCGCCGGGCTCGGGAGTTCGCGGGCTGTAGCTTCCGCTACGCCAGGAAAACGCCGTGCTTTGTGCACCGGCGAGTCTGAATCAGGAGTTGCCGAAGTCTTGTCAGTCCCGACGGGGTCGGAAGTCGCCTGTCCAGACCGTTCTGTCCTTAGCGTCTTTTGGAGCAAACCGGGCTTGGGCTCCTGATTTGGCCTGTCCTTTCCGTTGCAGGACCACGCCTGTCGGTTGTGAGTCAGGAGTCAGTGTGGCGTGCGCCAGACTTATCCTCTCCTCACTTCCTTGCAAGGCTACCTGCCGGGGCCAGGAACTGGTCCAACTCGTCTCCTGTTGCCTAGGTCTTTCCAAGGAACTGTCCCAGTACAGATCCTTTCTTGTCTGGTTCGTTCTGTTGCTGCTCGTTTTTGGGCTGTTGGACTCTCCAGAGGCGGTCCTTCAACTTAAAACACCGAGTCCCTTTTTAGAAACGCTCCAACGCTTGAATGTCAGACTCTCCAAAGGCGGTCCTCCAACTCAACGCTACAAGCTTCCTAAAAAGACTCGTCTTGATCTGCTCCAATGGGCCTCCTTATATGCGAATCGGAGCGCCCGTTAATCCTTCTGGCTCCACAGATCACGTCCCTTTCCCCGTTGGCGGGCTGCCGTTACTCCTGCTTCCAACATCACGCCACTTTCCTGCTGGCAGGCGGCCGTCCGTGCGGACGGCCACTGACCCCTGCTATTACTATGCAATAGGCCGCTGGCCTCCTTCGCCTCCCCCGTTGCTCCTTGCTCCTTTGCTGCTACTAGTCTTGCACACATTCTGAACACGGCTGCGCGGTGTGCTCATGTCCTCACTTTTGCCTCGGGAACCGTTACGTTCCACGTTGACTCCGTCTTCCCACTCGATGATGGAGCTCTGCCCCTCACCGCCCTTACTGCCTTTCCATTCGTCCACTGGTGCTCCGGGAACCGTTACGTTCCACGTTGATCCCGTCTTCCCACTCGATGATGGAACCCTGCCCCTCCCCGCTCGTATTGGTCCTTGGCCTATTTCCTGCGGCCGCCTAGTGATTGGCCGGTGCTGCTTACGCCCTGTCGCCGCTTTCGCACCTCCTCGGCCCTCCTTGGCTCCCCGGTTATCTGTCTTAGCGTGTGGGGAGACTAACTCTCCTCACAACATCTCACCGTGAACTTCGAGAAGCCAAAGTGAAAGCTATTCGGCACTTTAAAAAATCGATTGTTGCAAAAGACCTAAAAAAGTTTCTGAGTATGATCGACTTCTACCGGCCGTTTATCCCACGAGCAGCCGAAAACCGACACATACTCCAAATGCCCAGCAAGGCAATAAAAAGAATGACAAAACCCCGATACTTTGGTCTACAGAAGCCGATCACGCATTAACCGCCTTCAAGAACGAGCTTGCAAACGCTACGTATGTAGCTCATGGCACCAAACTCGCAATTAACGCTAACCACCGATGCATCCGACGACGCCATGGGTGCCGTAGCACATCCGATCATCAAAGGGCAGACACAACCACTGGGCTTTTTCTCCAAGAAATTCACATCGACGCAAAAGAAGTACAGCACCCACGATAGAGAGTACGCACTATGCAGAAACTTCATAATTTTCACCGACCACAAGCCCACGGCATACATCACCGTCTTTAGTCAAAATAGCGAGAAATCATCACCACGACGCGCTCGCCAACTGGGTCTTATCAGCCAACTCAGTACCTATATTCGGCATTTCTCTGGAGAAGAAAACAACGTGGATGGTCTTCTCTCACACATCGACGCCATCAAACACATCGACTTCGACGAGATGGCACTGGAACAGGAAAACGAGAACAGAAAATTCTGACGCCGAAAATGCCATCTCACTAACAAAATTGTCCCTTTCAGGCTTAAACAAGCAATTGTATTGCCATGTCGCCTATAACCAGATACGCCCGTTCGTGACCAGATGCTTACGCCAAACCGCGGTTCAAGCCCTGCATTCGCGGAGCCATCCAGGAGTTAAAGCAAAGAACAAGTTGGTCGGCAAACACTACGTTTGGCCCCGCATAGCGAAGGATGTCGCTAAAATCGTACCCTCTTGCATCCCGTGTCAAAAAGCCAAATTCAACGTCACACCAATTCGCCACGCCCGTTTCGAACACATCAATATCGATATCGTTGGCCCACTGCCTTCATCGAAGGATCGTTTCTCAAGATGGCCCGCAGCAGTTCCCTTAGTCGACATCACAGCACAATCTGTAGCCAGCGCACTAATTTTGGTTCGGGGTGGTTAGTTCAGTACGGTTCCCTCTCCACATCACACATCGAATCCACGGACAATTCGAATCAACACAATTCGACTACGTACAAAAATCAAAAGCGACATCGGGTTGAGCCCAGCTGAAATGGTTTATGGCATCGCATTACGGGTCCCGGGCGGATTTTTCAAGGCACGAAAAATATTTTACGCTCAAAGACCTCACAAAGGACAAACATATTTCCATCGATCGACTTTAACCAGCATACATCTTTAAATACGAAAACGACAGCGCCAACTGCCCAGACAACCGAGCAAGTATTAAGATCAGGACGACGAGTCAGATTCCCAGCCAAGTATCTTTCCCAACTGGAGCTCTAGGAGGGGGGTACTGTGGCAACCCTCATCAGCTTATGTTATCACGACCAAGCTCGATAACTCACGCGAGTACATTGGGAATCCACACATACACTCTTGACTAACGGCTACCATTTTGAGAATTCGCGTCTTTATCATTTTTATAGTTTTAAGTATATGTACCATATAGTGATAAGTAAATATACGAACACTAAAACGTCATAAATGGTACTTCTGTTAAGTTTGCCACGTTAGGTTTAAGTTGCCCGAATTAAAGACGACTGGAAGCCCGACAATTGGAATGGTAAATTCACTGTGTAATTGACAATACAAACTAATGGAAAATTTGTATAACTCATTCTTGATAGATAAACAAATAAAATTATAAAATGGGCATTTTTATGGGCATTATCGCCCACTTACATGACAAACATGCGTTACGTCTATGTTTATTGTTACTTATGGTGTGGTGATGCATTTTTTTTCAGTCCTAATATTTTTCTTGCAGTGACTCCATAAACATTAAGACACACCCCTGTAACAGGAGCACGTTGTTTAGCCAAGTTCTGGTTTGACATTGTTGTTAACGATAATGTAAAAAGGTGAAGTGCGTTCGTTCCCGGGGGTTCTTTAATATGCATTTTATGTTCAACTTTCTCAAATAAGTTTTTCCTAGAAGCTACAATAAAAGCTTAAATAGACTTTAATAAAACATGAAAAACAAGAAAAAAACATAATTTCGGGCGGAGTTGGTATACCATATACCTAAAAAGATAAAGTCTCTGGAAGGTTCCAATCTTTTATCTTCAAAAAAACACGAAATTTGGGTAATTTTAGATCTTTTAGTTATATAGCAGCTATAGAATATAGTTGGCCGATCCTTCTGAAATTAAAAATTTACTGCTGTCATATGATTATGCCAAATACAAAATCCATAGATTATCCCAAATCTAAAAACATCTAAGTTATGGCATTTCCGATCTATCAGTTATATGACAGTTGTAGCCACAATTCTTCCCACATTCATATAGTACATACTTTTTTATGTAAGTTTGGGATTATAATTTTACACAGTCCAGTAACTTTTTTTCATTGAAAAATGTTAATTTTATATTAAGTTATATACATACCCACCCAAAAAATGCGACCCAAAACTAACAATTTTCAGAATTAATATATATCAAAGCCAAATCGGTAAGTTTTTATGAAGGTCATGCATACATGTTCAAGAATTTGTAAATATGCTAGTAGTAGTATAGTAGTATATAATGTACAACCATTATATTAAAACTGATAAAAACTGAAATTTCTTAAAGTTTAATATTATTGGTAACAAAAACACCATACTTCATAACCTCCATGATTGTGTAAAAATTAATCAATTAACAGATTTTATTGACTGTGTATGTGTTACTGCCTACAATTTGGTTCGACAGAATCACATTCTTCTGGAAGATTTTCTTCACTTTTCTTTTCACTGAGATTTTGAACCATATCATCTTGGCATGAAAATTCAATTGGGCTTGCACTTTTATGTAATTGCCTTATACCCGATGTTTGTATTCCTGTAGGCGCGACAGTTCCAGGTGTTTGTGTGCGACTATATCCAGAGCTACTTGGTCCACAATGTGCTCCAGTTGCAGCCGATCTTCTATATACGGTGCTATTCATTGTTAACTTTCGCACGTTTTTGTCCGGATGAAAAATAAGAATATAAACCTTTGGTGAATATAGGCATACAAGAGCAACGGAAGCACTAAGACTTATTGAAATGCACAATGTCGTTATTTGAATCTGAAATGTAACAAATTTTTGTAAGTATTTTAAAAAGATCACAAAACAAGAAAGGAAAGCTAACTTTGGGCGGAGCCGAAGTTGATATACCCTTGCAGTTAAAACTCGATATTTATTGCAAACATCGGATATAGTTGGGCGATTCTTATGCGATAATCATAATAAAACGAATGCGAAAATCAATTTATTGCAATAAAAAATCTAGAAAAAAATCCCAAACTTCTATCTTCAAAAATACCAAAGTTGGTATTTGGATTTATGGATTTTATGTTATGTTAATCGGCTGTCAGGAGCAGGGTAATTGTAAACTTCAATATATTCTTTTGGTCTTATTGGGAGCGGCCGGCAACTGTGGTGGTTTTCTAAAAAATGTATTCTTTACAATTCATTTGAATTCATCATTTCATTTGGCCAATTAATTTGAACTACCGCATGTTATAGGGAGCGGCGGACTATATCCTGAAGCTTTCATTTAAACAATTGGGATTGAAACCCTTTGGTTTTTTTAATTGGAAGGCGCATAAAAACTGCAACGAGCTTCATCAAAAATTTAAAATTTGTATTGAGTTTATTAAATTTTTGGCAAAAAAAATCAATGTTTGTGACCGGTCTATAAATGTGTAGCTCAGAAAACGTAGGGGTAATTCAGAATATTAGCAACGAGCCTGGATTCGCGTACACCTGTCTTACGTTGAGTTACCGAATTCAATTGGATTCAGTCTTACTTTTTTATTATTCGAAAGCCTTAATTAGTGTCGTTCGAAATGTGTAATATGAACTGCTATTACCTGCTGGCCTTCAAACTATGGTACTTTTAAGGCACAATGTCAGTATGAACAAGAAAGCAAAGCTAACTTCGGGCGGAGCCGAAGTTGATATACCCTTGCAGCTAAAACCGGATATATATCGCAAAAATCGGATATAGTTGGCCGATCCTTATGGGAATATGAATATATAATCCAATTTATTACAATACAAAATCTAAAAAAAGTCTCAAGCTTCTATCTTCAAAAATACCAAAGTTGGTATTTCTACCAAAAACCATTTCCGATCGTACAGTTATATGTCAGCTATAAGATATAGTCAACCGATCGTTATGAAATTTGGTAGATCGGATTAACTGACCAAAAATAGAATGTGTACCAAGTGCCAGCTTTCTATCATCAAAAACACGAAAGTTGGGTCATTTGCCTAAAATGTTGCCTAAAATTTGAACTCTCTAACTTTAAAAACACCAAAGTTATACCATTTCCGATCAATCAGTTATATGGCAGCTATAGGATATAATCGGCCGATCCCGGCCGTTCCGACTTATATACTGCGTGCAAAGGAAAGAAGGGTGTGTACAAAGTTTCAAGTCGATAGCTTTAAAACTGAGAGACTAGTTTGCGTAGAAACAGACAGACGGACAGACAGACGGACAGACGGACAGACGGACATGCTTATATCAACTCAGGAGGTGATCCTGACCAAGAATATATATACTTTATAGGGTCGGAGATGTCTCCTTCACTGCGTTGCACACTTTTGACCAAAATTATAATACCCTCTGCAAGGGTATAAAAAGGGATCTATTTTTGGCACTCAGAAGTCATCCCAACCATGAAGTTTGTTGTCATGGAAAACTTTGTATTTGGTACAGTTGTGAATTATCTGAAATATACTATGGAAGAGTAATGCGAGATTGGCGAATGGATTGTTGCAAAAAAAAAACGCAAGTCAACAAATTTTCACACCTAATTGAGGATGTCCCATCAGATACATTGTTTGTAGCTGCAAGCTTCAGCTTGCATAGAGCTGGAAAACGCTGTGCTGCACAGTTGGTTTCAATGGTAAACGCCGACGAAGAGTTTAGCGGTAATATAATGAAAACTATGTCTATCCCACAGCGTTCACAGTCAAAAGTTTGATGACTTTGATGGAAAAATGATAAATCTGCCGATTCTTTCTCGCAAAGTACCTTAATGGGTCGACTATATCGAGTAGAAGAAAGACTATTGCTTTTCCATAAAACTATCGGTCCGTTCTGCACTGTTAATGGCACCATACAAATTGAAAAGTAAAAAAACCGACTTAAGACCGATTTTAGCTTAGAAGTTATTAATTAAACGCCGCTATCGAGACCAAATCGCCCACTGTGATTCGGTTCGAAGAGCTTGAGAAATGAATCCGAGGACCCTACCAAAAGGGTCGCAGGTTGCGGATAGCGAACGGCCTTTCTTGGAAGATCAGCTGTGAATGAAGCAAAGGGCCCATGGTAGGACACTCCTCGTGGGGTTCTCCTTGCAAATTAACAGCCCCGTTCAGCTGGCGGGTATCCGCGCCGTAAGCGGTACCTTTAAATTAACCTTTAATTAGCCTTTAAATAAACGCTTACTTCGATTGAGATGAAATTCAATATCCTTACGTTTTTTGGGTCACTGATCGCGAATCTGAAGTCAAAAGCCATAAATTCAAAATGGTGGAATTGAACTGATTAGGCTAAAAATTAATATTATGGTGGTAATTTCACTTCCAAAACAAGAAAGGAAAGCTAGCTTCGCGCGGAGCCGAAGTTTATATACCCTTGCAGTTAAAACCGGATATACATCGCAAACATCGGATATAGTTGGCCGATCCTTATGGGAATATGAATATATAATCCAATTTATTACAATACAAAATCTAAAAAGTCCCAAACTTCTATCTTCAAACATACCAAAGTTGGTATTTCTACCAAAAACCATTTCCGATCGTTCAGTTATATTGCAGCTATAAGATATAGTCAGCCGATCGTTATGAAATTTGGTAGGTCGGATAAACTGACCAAAAATATAATCTGTACCAAGTTCCAGCTTTCTATCTTCAAAAACACGAAAGTTGGGTCATTTCCGAACGTTGAGTTATATGGCAGCTATAGGATATAGTCGGCCGATCTTTACAAAATTTTGCATTTCGTATTATTTTATTTGAAAGCTCTCATGTCAAATTTGAATTCTCTAACTCTAAAAACACCGAAGTTATACCATTTCCGATCAATCAGTGATATGGCAGGTATAGGATATAGTCGGCCGATCCCGGACGTTCCGGCTTTATACTGCGTGCAAAGGAAAGGAAATCCTGTGAAATTTCACCACACAAGAAGCATTTCATAGTTGAAGTTGTTTCTGTAAGGGCATTGCACACCTTCATTGCACCATTGATAAAATTAGGTTATGACGAATTTTTAATGTTTTTGAACCGCTATTTATGACGCTTTCTTGAAAACTCGATATTTGGATTTCCATCTCACGATTTTTCTGAATGGACACATCAATGAATTTAAATTCAAATCTTATTGGTCTACAATATCTTTTGACGCAGGGTTTGGGTTATGCCATATGATAACATCCTTAGTCATCAAACGAAGCAGTACAAGACAAAAGATAAATACAGCTGAATCGTTAGCTTCAGAGTCTTGAAACGCTAGTTTATAAGAGCTGTGTCCCGAGGATCCATCAAATCCCCACTCAGAGATTAGACACCATCATAACCATCGAACTACCAAACTGAGCGGACATGCTTTGTCCGAGCTCCGGAAAAACTGCACCATAATACAGCTAATCAAAAAACTGGGGTACACCAATATAAGCGAAAAGACGCTGAACTACAATTTATTAAAAGCAATAGACAAGCTTTTTATAACAGTTGTGATGTGCTAAACCAAAACTAGTGCATTGTTTAAGAAAAATAAGTGCAACGCAATGAGCTCATTGAGCAACGATCAAAAGAACGAGCGTAGAAGTTCGGTGAACCAAAGAAACGGCTTCTACTCTTGTTTTTCAACCCGCGATACCGAAGTGAAAAAATCGGCGATTAAGAGCAATCCGGCTTTACTGACCGCTGAAACTCAAAGGGCACGGACTTGCTCACCCGCTCTGCTCCATGACGCCACTCCCGCGTCATGGAGTTCGCAGTGTAAAACCCCCCTTCCAATATCGGAAACAAATTTCGCAACAACAACTAGCAGTGCTACAATTTCTGCAATCCCAGCGACAACCACTGCAACTCAATGTACCGCAACGTAGTAAACGGTATGCAGATCCCTCAAGCTAACGAAGTAACGTACCCTGGCGTCCACCTTGATAGACGACTTACCTGGCGTAAGCACATCGAATGCAAAAAGGTGCACCTAAAACTGAAAGCCAGCAGCCTCCACTGGATCATAAGCTCACGATCGCCATTGTGCCTGGACTCCAAGTTACTACTGTACAATTCAGTCTTAAAGCTAATCTGGACGTATGGCTCCCAGCTGTGGGGGAACGAGAGCAGCAGCAACATATACATCATACAGCGCGCACAATCAAAAATCTTGAGAACTATCACAGGGGCACCTTAGTATGTTCGCAACGAAAACATCCACCGGGATCTGGGCATCCTCACAGTGAAAGATGAAATCCAGAAGCAAAAAGAGTCATACAAAGAAAAACTGTCTTCGCACCCAAATTTTCTCGATCGGGGATTGACTCGGGTTTCTAGCGTATCCCGCCTTAGACGCAACGACCTCCCAACCCAGCAATCGATTTTTAGGGCCGTCTAACTCCGTATCAGTCAATATGACTGTTAGTTAAGTTAAAAATATAAAATTTGATACACCTCTTGTTAGTCTCGCAAAGAGAAGGTTAAAAAAAGAAAAGCAAGGTTAAAAAAAAAAAAATCAGAGATTAGACACATTTCTATAGGGTATTTATGACAGCTATCAATGTTTGACATAATCTAATAATAGTATGGTCTAACAGAGATTGCAGTTTTACTGGAGCGCCAGTTTTAGTTATAATAATATCTATTGATAGCAAAGTTTTTTAGCTCCTTGAATTGATTTATATGAAGGGAATTTTTTAGGATCATTTCTTCTTATCACATCATACTGCTCGCGCGATAGTTTAGCTTCTATCAGGACAGACAATGCATCTTCAGGAGACAGTTGCTGTTGTGGTTTTAGAAATTTCTCATAAGCTTTTTCATAACACTTAGCACGTTCT